AGACCACGCTGGGAGGGAAGGAGGACAGCGACTCGGAGCTGGAGATCACGGACGTCAGCGGCTGCAGCTCTGACAGTGAGGGTGACGAAGGCCTCCCCGTGCCCCCCAAGCCCAAGGCGGGCAAAGGAGGGCTTGGCAGCTGAGCCAGCGTGGGGGATGGTTCTGCTGGGGCAGGGACCAGGGCCACTGCCTGTGCAGCCTCTCCATGTCTGGTTTGCCCTCGATGTCCTGCCAGAGGCCAGGGACCAGCCCTCAGCCCCGTCCAGGGCAGGACACGTGGCTGCCCAGTCTTCCTCCCCAGCCCCAGGTTGGGGTCTCACCTCCCCCTCCAGAGAGGCGAGGGAACATGACGGCCTCCAGCCTTCTTCCCAGGCTCCCGTTCGAGGGGGTCCCTACCTGGCCCCACTCCCAAAGTGCAATACGGCGCCCAGCCTCCCCGCCCGCCCCTACCCCCGTGCTGTGACCTGTGTGTTTGTGTGGCTGTGTGTCCCCTGTGCCAGCCCATCCTGACACCCTCTCTACACAGGCCCCCTGGGGACAGGGTGCTCAGAGCAATAATCCCGCCCCCAGCCCCCGCCCAGGAGGGCTTCCCTCCCCACCAGCTCCCCATGACCCCAACAGCCACCTCCAGAGTTTACTACAAAAATAAAAGAACAGAAAGGAGTGTGGATGTGGGTGCCCAGCACTGTGGGTGACCATGGGGGTTGGGGGTGGGAGCTGGGGGGGGGTGCCTGGGGGAAAACTGGTAACACACGGAATGAACGAACAAGGGGAGAAAGGCAACGTGGTGGGTCTGACCCAGGCAGGGGATGCCAGTCAGGGAGAGCTCCAGACACCACGCCAGGGCCCACCTCGCCACACAGAGCTCTCCTTAGATAATATATATTAAAAATAAACCTCCAATTCAGGATATAAAAACAGAGCAAAGGCACTTGGGGATGGGAGATGGGGGGTGGCCCCCCAGGCAATACTGGGATGGCCCGGGAAATGGTGATCACTGTGGTGCCCGGGGAATGAAGCCCTGAGTCCCCCAAGCAGAAGGCCAAGGCCAGAGGGAGGGTGGAGGCGGCAGTGGTCCCAGCTGGACCCCCTCAGACTTGGCCCGAAAGCCTGCGCCCTGTCCATGGGCCCTCGGGGTGCATATGCTGCGGCAGCTGTGCAGTAGTGGGTGGTGGTCCTCCCGTCTCTCCATCTTGCAGAAGGCCTGGGGGACATAGGAGAAGAGCAGGAAGGAGAGAGGAGGGGAGAGGAGGGGAGACAGAGAGACAGACATGGGAAAAGGGGAGAGAAAAGGAGGGTGGGGAGAAAGCAAAAAACGGCCTGAGAAACAGAAATGGACAGAGATGGGGAGACGCGAAGGTGGGCTGGGGAGATTCAGAAAGAGGAAGAACGGGAGAGGAGCGGATGTGGAGGGGCCCCTGGTACCCCTTCTCTGGACAGTGCTCAGCCCCCTCGCTCCCTACTCACCTGCCTGGGGCAGGGAGCCTCAGGTGCAGCCAGACTGGGGGACAGTGTTCTCTCCCAGCTGAGACAAGGTGAGTCGCAGGCGACAAAACTCCTCCTCCACCTCCTGGTTGGGGAGTGATCCATGAGAGGGGCCCTCACCGAGTCAGCCCCGCCCCGCACCCCCTCCCACCTGCCCGCCACCACCTCCAGCTGTTTAATGGTCTCCTCCAGGCCAAGTAGCTCCTCTCGGACGTCCTGGGTCTGTGTGGGGCTCAGGGGGCCGCCCCCTGGGACCCCACCCCCTTCAGGGGGAGGCCCTGCCCCGTTGTCTTCCTCTGAGGGGAGCAGGAGCTGCTTCAGGGACAGCACTGGCCAGGGACAAGGGGTCAGAGTCAGAGGCTGGGCTGGGGTTGAGATGGGGGATTTGGAGGGGAGCAGGGAAGAGGCAAAGGAGGGGAGCAGCCAGGGGCCGGTGGGTGGGAGGGAGGGTGGGCGCCAGCCAGGCTGAGCTTGGGGTTAGCTGAGCCTGCAGATGGAGCTGGGATGCAAAAGGGAGTACATAGGCGAGGCCGAGGGCTGGGACCGGGTGGGAGGGCACCCAGGATGGAGGTGGGTCCAGGGAGACTGCACTGAGGGGACAGAAGCTGCAGAGGGGCCCGGGGCGTGCATGTGGCTGGCTGGCACAGCTTGTGGCGGCTGAGCACGAGGCAGGATGGGAAGCACCAGTGGGGCTGGCGCAGCCCTGCGAGGAGAGGGGACTACCTTTCTGCAGGGCTTTGGCAGCGAGCTGGCCCTCGGGGCCGGGCCTGCAGAAGGGCTGGAGCGCGCTGAGGGTTCTCTCGATCCGGCCTGGGTGGGGAGCAGGATGGGTGGTCAGATTCTGCCTGGTTCCCTGTGGACACCCCCACCCGCACTGGAGGCCCCTCCAGGCTCACCATCCGTGGGAGGCATCTCTCGGCTGCCACCGTTGCCGTTCTCAGAGCTGCTGAGCAGGGGTTCGCGGGTGCTGGGGGAGGAAGTGCTGGGTGACCCCCACACCCTTGACCTCAGGGGAGGCAGGGAGGGAGATCGAGACAGGTCAAGGCTGAGAAAGGAGTGACGGTCAGTGCAGGACAGGGCGAAGGCAGAGGCCTGGGTGGGAGAAGGTGGGCCATGGTGGACAGCACACACACAGACACACACACATGCACACACGCATGCACATGGACCAAGGCCAGAGTTCAAGTTCTGGGGACACACAAGAAGCCAGGCCAGCCCCCCAGCCCCCCAGGTCCCCCCCTGCTCTGCTCACCTGCTTGGACTGGGCCGGGGTTTGGGGCGGGAGGCAGGGGCAGGGACCTTCAGGGATCCGGCGGTCTCAGTGATAAGGGCACACCAGCTGGGGAGACAGGCCAGCACCTGGGCAGTCAGAGCCCCCAGACCTTGTGCCAGGGCTTCCTGCCCTCACCCTGTCCCCAGGGACTCAGAGACCGGGCCCCTCCTCCTCCGCCTGTTTGTGGAACTCAACCCCCCTTACTTCTTCCGCTCTGACACGGTCTGCGCCACCAGCTCATAGATCTGGGCCTCTTGGTCCCAGGTGAAAATGACGTAGAAGGCTTTGTGATCTGTGAGGGGAAAGAGGCGGCTCAGGACCAGGCAGCCCTCACGGAGGACCCGCGGTGCCCTCCTCCCAGCCTTCCCGCTCATGATCCCACATCGACCCAGGCAGCCCCTCTCCACCACCCTGGCCCCAGGGCAACTTCTTGGCAACATGTTGCCAAATCCCTTTTCACTGGGCTCCCAGCTCCCACTCTTGCACCCCTACAACCCCCAAGCGCCGTTAGGTGTCTTCAAAATGGCAGGAAGAGCTGGCCAGCCCTGTGCAAACCTGGGGCAGTGTCCCAGCTCACTTGGTAAAACCCACAACATGGCAGGGCCCTGCCCAGTTCTGGGCCTCCCTCCCACAGCTGGTCTTGAACCTGCCACGCCTCCCACTGCTCAACCTCTGCTGTGGCCTCTCCTTCGCCAGAATGCGAGATCCCCGGCTCTTTGGAGGGTTCCCTGCCCACTCCCTAGGCAGCCATGCCTTGCGCCCAGGGCCAGGCCTCACCGGTGGCCACCTCCCGGGTCATGGCGGAGGTGAGCCGCAGCACCGGCCGCAGCATGGTCTTGCCGTCGGGTGTGGGGGTCAGCGTCCGGCTGTGTGACTTGGGCAGCAGCAGCTCG